AAGTTAGAGGGTTGACATGTTGTGGGGTTGTTAACCAATGTCATAAAACAATATGTGTACTACTGTTTCATGAGAAACTATTTGTTCTGTACGCCTTCACCTGAAGTACAATAAAAAAAAAGAAAAAAAAAATTGCAGATTTTATATATAGAAACACAGCCCAAGCCCACTGCTGTCAAGTCGATTTCGACTCATAATGACCCTATAGGACAGAGGAAAACTGCCCCATAGGGTTTCCAAGGAGCAGCCAGTGGATTCGAACTGCCGATCTTATGGTTAGCAGCTGAGCTCTTAACCACTGCGCCACCAGGGCTCCATACAGAAACAAGAGATCTTAATATAGGGATCCTAAGGTTAGTTTCAGAGGGGAGAATCTGAGAATCTCCTGAAATTATAATCCGATATTTTGTGGTAGGAGCATTATGTGATTTTTCTGAGACAGTTCATAGTGTGCATTAGATTCTTAAGGGAGTCTGTGATCTGATAAAAGAGCCACTGATCAAAATGATTATTCCTCCATTTAAAATAGACATATTTCAATAGTGCTACCTTGGAAACCCTGGTGGCGCAGTGGTTAAGAGCTACTACGGCTGCTAACCAAAAGGTTGGCAGTTTGAATCCCCCAGGCATTCCTTGGAAACCCTATGGGGCAGTTCCACTCTGTCCTACAGGGCCGCTATGAGTCGGAATTGACTTGATGGCAGTGTGTCTGGTTCTTTTTTTTTGGACCATGGTTATAAGAATTTTTGAAACTACATCAATGACAATAACTTTAAAGTTAAATTCTGATTTTTAATCCAAAGTAGAATCACTTAGCTTGTTCTTATACCCTTGATCTTTTCCTATATGAAATATACCCTTAAAGAGCAAAAGGAATACACAAAAAAAATCAAGGTAAATAGGAATTAATGAAGTTGCTCTGAAATGAGACACAACTTATGTGTTGCCATCACTTCTAACGAAGATCAAAGATAACTGATTATCTTCCCCCCATCCTGTCAATGGTACTACCTTTATCACTGTCATACAAACTCAACTCTTCCCTTCCCATCATAGTTACTTAGTCATGTTTATGCTTTCTTCAAGATGTTGCTCAAGTCTACAGTGTTACATTGCCAAACTGCATGCCAGGGCTATAGCACATAATGTCTACATTATTTCATTGTTTCCACTGGTCATTCCTCTTCTCAAAGTCTTCAATTGTTCCTTATTCCCCAGAGTATAATGACCCAGCATC